TATAACCAAGATTTTACTTTTTATTATTATTGTATATGACCCAAAACAAGTGACTAAAGTAAAGTTTTACCCAAAGACCCCTACAGTCTTTTTCAACAACAGCTATTGCCATCTGGTGGCCTTCAGAGAGAATGCAGGTTTTTAGGCACTTCTGCATTGGCTTTATTTTTAGGACCAGGAAGCATGTTTTTTCCCCACAGGTCCCATTCAAACGTGTTTCAGGATTCCTGCAGCGAGGTGAACAGCTCCTTTGACTCTAAAAGCATTTTAAAATCTTACATACATCATCTCACATTTTTTGTGTTTCAGTATTGGAAAAATGAAAGAAGAGTTGTTTTGTTTTCCCTTCTTTTATTGATTCTGCATCTATGGTTAAAACACCCTGTTGTTCTGGATCACTGTTCGATGATGTCACTAAGTTTACTGCGTCCAACTGTATATGTGGTTAAAAAAAATGAATAAAGATGACAAAGTGATGAATGGTTAACAGATTGTTGTTGTATTTAAGGGGATTGTTGTTCATTTGACTGGTGTGACTGCCACACGTGGTTCAGCTGAACTCGGGCATGATGGGGGTACAAGTGGTTGCGCTGTGCTTCTGAACATGGCTCTCCAGTAGTCACTCAAAGATTTTGCCTCTGGAAAAATAAGCAACCCCAACTTCCTGCGTGTGACAGTCTCTCTTGCAGTCTGACTCATCACTGTGGTGAATCAGTGTTGTATTAATGTTAATTGAAACATGTTTACGACATAATTGGTCTCTGTGGGTGCATGTGTCATTGTTTCTGTTTTAGGAAACCACACCAATTCTGTAATGCGATCATTCGGACCCGTCTGCTCCTTCTCCTAAAATAACCCCTTGACACAGCCACCCAACACACACGCACACACACACACACACACATAGAGCTACTGTACCGCATTTGCACTCCTGACACACTAAGTCGGTGTCAGACACTGTAGGTGTCTGTGTTGTGTCTCTGCATGTCCTGTAAATTCCACTTCAGCTTCGAGGGACATTGTGATGAAGCCGCTGAACTGATCTCATTGACATTTCAGATTAGCACTAAGCAGAGCACCCCTGCCCCATCTTTCTCTCTCTCTGAGGGTCTCTGTCAGTGAGAAAGGATTAAGATAGCATTTTGTTTTTTAAAAAAAAGGTAAGTCAGACATGATTTATTCATATCTTTGCTGTCTCTGTGGTGAATCGTAAATCTTGAATTGAAAGTTTCATAGGACGCACCGATATATTTTTTCACCTTTTTGATAGAAATGTTCTAAATGCACGCGTGTTAGATCCGACCACTGGCTGCACTGTATCTAATGCGACCACTGGCCGCACTGCAGAGCTTTCCATTTAAAAATGCCGTCTTAAAATTACCAGCTGCTATTTACAGATTTTGGACTGACTTCTTTTTCGGGAGGCTGAAGAACAGGTGGAAGTGCCAGAGCTCAGCTCGCTTTTACACTGGCCTGCAATCAGCTGGAGGAGTGAGTCTCTCTGTCTGTGGGTTGAATCTAGTTGGCTTCAACAATTCTGCGTGATTCGAATGCAAACATTTACATTTGCTTTTAGCGAAGATGATGATGGTGAGCGACGACTGCCTGGTGGAGTGTAAGATTGACGACAGCGATGAAGACGACGGAGGGGAAGAACAGATAAACACTCCCCCTCCTCCCCCAGAGTTTGCATCCAAATCCTCAACCCCTGCACCCAAAGCTCCAACTCCACCTGGAGCTCTGACTACGCCCAGGGCCCCGACTCCACCCATAGCTCCAGCTCCACCTGCTGCTCCTCCTACACCAGCAGCTACTCGTCCTGTCAGCAGGGATCCTCGTGGTATCAACCAGCACCTAAAGGTCCTGATGTTTGTTCTCTTTATTATCAGTCTGCTTTGTCACAACATCTGCCCTTGAGTCCTAAAATCCAGATGTCACATGCATAGACACAGTCCTACCAGAAAATTGTTTTTTTAACCTTCTAATTGGATCTGACCAGTCTCAGAACTGTTATCTATATCTAAGACAAAATATCTGAGATAAAAATGTATTTTGGGGGAATTTGTACACTCTTTATAAGACTATCTTGGTTTTTAAAATGCTGCTTGTGAGGCTACACAATCATTTTCACCCTCATTTTCCCATCCGACAGACAGATGTCCCTGTTTATTTATTTTTTTTCCCTGGGTTTCTTTTTGGCTTTTTTGGGAGGGGGCTCTTTCTCTTTGGAAAGAGTTAAATGGGACAATCTATAGATGACACAAATAAAACCCCAAAGAACACAACAAAACAGCAGTGAAATAACCCTTATTGATTGAAAGAGTTAATGCAACAGAAAACCTCAGATAAGCCACACATGACACATTTCATTTTCCCAAACTTTGTGACATTTTGATAATAAAACGAATTTAAATCATTTTATATTGTTTTATTTTGAAGTTAACTACATTATTTTTAATCATTTTTAATATAACATTAAGCTGACCAGAAATACTGTGAATGGTATTCCCAGAGTGATCGCTCAGATACAGATATTCCAGATAATTTCCTGCTGCAAACATAGTTTCCAACATGAGTTGTCTGAGTGAAAAAACATAAAATATAATAAATTATTTCTGTTATAATGGAATATCTAGGAATAGGAATGAAATAGCTTTCAGTACAGATACACAAACCAAAACCTGCGTGTTCCCAAAGCACATTGTGCATGGTTGTCATGTTAAAGATCTAACTGATCAAGATAGCAGTTGAAACTATCCTGATAAAAATAGAATTAACTTTGGCTAGTTTATTGTGTTCAGCCTCAGCGTTCTCTCCTGTTACCTTTTACAGGTGGAGGTCAGTGATGTGTTGGCAGAACCCAGCAAACCTCACAGCATAGACCAAGTGTGGATTTACAGCGTCACTGGCTTTGAGAATGCTCGTATCTGGACGTACCAGTGCCTCTCCTTGCTTTTTGCTGTGCCCTGCGCTCTCGTTTGTGGCATTTTCCTGGCCATTCTTGCCTGCCTTCATGTCTGGTATGTTGGAGAGTTATTAAATATTTCTCCTCTGGACACACATTGCTTTATCTGCAAATAACCACAAACACACATCCACAGTATTATTAGGATTATTGGCATGTTTTTTTCCTAGCAAGAAAGAGTGTAGTTAGCCGCTAATGAAACATCAGACACAGCCTCTACTTTAAAACATGTTCAATATAACATTTGAGTGCATGGACTATATATCAGAGATGGACAAAGTTGTCACCTAACCCCTTACATATTCGTCTCTGCCCAGTTCATACCAGCATCCTGTTTTACTGTGTGTATACAGTTAGGATTAGGACTAAGGGGCAGGGGCAGTTCTTTATGGCACAATTCACATGTGCAGAAATACGTTTGCAGACAGTCACATGTTTAATAGCTTTCTTTGCAGATTCCTGCTTGACATTATACCAATGTCACATGAATAAAACTCTCTTCTAGACACTGAGGAAGGTTCACTAAAATGAAACCTCAGTGGACTAAGGTCATAAGTATGGAAGAGCCCACTTTTTTTTTTCCAGTGGCCCTAATTCTCTTCCATACACAAGCAAAAGAAACCTTATTTACAGTCTTGGCTATCCTGTTAGCAGTATTGCAGATGTCTCACTTATAAATGTAAAAGGATTTTTGGGTCAAATAAGACTTTGTTGTTGTTGTACTGCAAGTGTGGTCGCACCACAGCCAGCAGATATTCAGCAGTACAAATTTTCAGCTTTGTTACATGCGCGCAGAAATTTCTCCACTTTGTGTGAATCTTTTGATTATGTCCTATAGATGATGAGATATGTAAAATCTTTGTAAATGTGCAGTTGTTGCAGCTTTGGACAAGTCTTGTGTTTTTGTTACTGGTGTTTGAACAATTGTTTCACAATTTATAGATTTATTTTTGCAAGCTGGTGAACTTCTGCCCCTCTTTACTTCTGAGAAACTCAGCCTCTCTTCCTGTAGCTGTTTGCCACATGAGTGTTCAGACACATTACACAGGTGTTTCTGCTGCCTAAGCCGTCTTCACTAACTTACTCTGATCTTTGTCTGTGCCTAGGTTTCTGGTTCCCTGCATACAGCTGAGCAACACTTTCCTTCCATGCCTGCGGTCCTTGTGTATGTGTGCCGTCAACGTTGTCATCTCTCCATTCTGTGCATCTGTTGCTCTCTGCTGCAGCCAAATTGCAATTTCACTGTCGAACAAGGACTGGATTCAAATGAAAGACAAAGACACAGTATGAATGCAAGATATGCACTCAGTGGGTGACTGAGTGAATGCTTAAATTGGGGGCCTATTTCTCATTTCTTTCTTTTTCTTCATGTTTTTTTTTTATTTATGTTTTATTAACCTGCTCTGTTAATCCTACTCGAAATGTTTTCTACATGTAAACCAATTTCTGCTATTATTTCCACCATCAGGCTATAAAGAAATGTACTGCTACTACTGCTACTACTATTATTATTCTTGTTGTTGTTGTTAATCATTTGATTTCTGGTTTATTTGTATGAAAGCTGAAACAAACTACAAATAAAAATGTCAAGACTTCCACGGGTATTTATTTATATTGGGTATTTATTTATTTTCCAAAATGAAATAGATATGAGTGTAAATCAAACAACTTTCAAGAAATATTAAGGTCACAAATATTTTGTTTTTAGTTAGTTTTTTTTAAGTAGAAAGTTTACACATACTATAAAATATAAATGTTCAAATAATTATCTCGTCTTAAAAATAATTTATGAAGCAAAAATATAAGTTCTATTCATTTGTTTCAAACTTGGCTTTGGGGCTTTTTTTCAGCTTTTCCTAAAAAACTATGGATGATTTTCACAAATTAATCAGAACATTTTGATTGATTGCTTAATCAGTAGTTGAAGCATGCGAACTTAGTGTTAATTGCTTCGAGAGAGAATTTTTTTTTTCACAATTATTCCGAGCTTCCCTGAAGCCCTTGAAGGCATCGTTTAATACGTAACTACCCGGCATGCACTTCGCCGTCGCCATTTTTCTTGTTGTGATTTGCGTGATACGCTGTCTTTACAGTTCTGGAAAAGTCTCTGAGAGATTTTATTATTAATCTTGTATTTGAACAAATATCTTTTTAAGCTCATTTTGAAAACATGGCGCAGTACAAAGGCGCTGCCAGTGAGGCTGGCAGGGCCATGCAGCTCATGAAGAAGCGTGAAAAAGAAAGAGAGCAGCTGGAGCAACTAAAGCAGAAGATTGCAGAGGTTTGGAACTTCTCCCCCTTGATTATAACAAGTTCAATAATAGTTCAGTGTCAATGAGAGCTACTTTAGCCGTTTATAAGTGGTCAAAACGACAGAACGCAGTCGCGTAAGGCCGGGAGCAAAGCGAGTGAAGGACAGTGGCGGAGCCAGGAAATTGTCCGTGGGGTGGCCAGGATGGATCTGTGATGATTTTAGAGGGCATACATCTCTCAGAAAATATTGGATTGCTATTTAAGCTCCTTAAACTACACGCCTGTACAATATTTGAATCTAGGTAGTGGTGGCAAAGATCAAATGCTATCTCTAACATTTTTTCTTATTTGTGCTGATAAAGTAACAAAGAAGCACAATACAAATGTAGCACCACTTATAGACAGTTGTACTGTGTATTACTACTGTGCTGAGTTTAGCTTATGGTGATCAGCAGTATTATGAGCTAATCTGCTGTGTCATCAAGATACACAGATACATAATTAACTTTTTTTTATGTAGTTCGATCCAGGTATTTATACACGAAACAAACTACTTTACCGTTATAATCGCATAAAACATGGGAAAAAATGTTTAAAATTAGAGATTTGTCCAAATTTCTGTTTGAATTCTAAGATTTTTGAGACAAAGGCTGTAAGGGCTCTCTGATCTGTTCTAATATTGTGACCACACCAGGATAACAACATGCCTGACCTGCTCTTCACTGAGCCTTCACTGTGTGTGTGTGTTTTCTCATAGGACAACATGGTCAAGTCCAACATTGACAAGAAGTTCTCGGCTCACTATGATGCTGTAGAGGCAGAGCTGAAGTCCAGCACAGTTGGTGAGTGTGTTGTGTTATATTTAGATTAGGATGATTTGTTTCTGGCATTCTTGCTTACTTTTTAATTTACCTGTTGTGGTTTTTGTTTGTTTCTTTGTTCTCTTAAATCTCTTGATCAGGTCTGGTGACACTGAATGATATGAAAGCCAAGCAGGAGGCGCTGGTAAAAGAGCGAGAGAAACAGCTGGCCAAGAAGGAGCAGTCCAAGGAACTCCAGCTGTGAGTTTTTCTTACTGATGCTCTGGGGCCTCTGTTACGATCCAGGATTCAGTCTTATCTGGTTAAATTCAAGTTTCAACCTTGGTTGAGGAAAACAGGATTTCCAGTAATTTAACAACAACTACATTTCCAGAAATTAGCGTCACCGTTCCCAGAAGATCAGCCAGACTTCTGGGCGTGGACATTTGGAGGAGGGTCTAAAGTTTTTGTATTTGCCCAATGAGCACAGATGGACATAGATTCTTAAACACCACTTTATTACTTGATTCCTATTGTCTGCGAATGGTTTCACAGCAGTTTTATTCTATGAACAATAATTAATTAATTAACTATTAATCAATTAATATATGACATAGCGCCTGTTTGTATTTGCTTACCTCATATCAAACTTGCATGTAGACTAAGCCTACGTTTGAATTTTCTTTTAATATGAATTCTTTATTCTCTTAAACGGCACCGATGCTGCAGAAATAATTGATTGCTATCCATCAGATTCTCTCATGTCCTATTGATAGAGTTGTGATATTGATAAGTCTGTTGACTCACACAGTCAGTTTTGTTTTCTTTCTTCTGAATATAGCAGCTGTTTTCCAGTCTTACTGACCGGAGCAGTTAAAGTGCACATTTTTAATACTGTAACACTCCACAGTGCTTTTCCTCACACTCACATCGCCGTGTGAATTTCAGTTTCTATTATGTGTTTTACCTCGTCATATTTTCCTGCACTATAATTTGATTTTCTTTTATGAAATCAGTCGCTCTGCTGCGAGGATACTTATCCATATTTGCGATTAGTTAGATGCAACCAGGGTCAGCCCTGTCGTGCGAATGTGCAGGGGAAACGCTGAAATTAATGAGAGGATTACCCAAGTTAGGATAAGTGTATCCAGATAATGTAGCATCTGGTCTGTGGCTGATCTAACTCTCCTTGGTGGTGTGGTGTGTGAATAGAAGAATAGAATAATCCTTTAATTGTCCCACAAGGGGAAATTTGGTTGTAACAGCAGCCAGAAAGACACATATACAAACAGGACACAGAACAGAAAGATACACAATTTTTCTTAGATATTTACATTAAGGACAATGGTTACTATAAACAGAGTACTGTACAGTTATTAAATAAAATAAAATTAACTACAGATAAGAGGCAAACCAGGTTGTAGTGCGAATTGGTTGATTGAATTATTGCAGTTACAGCGCAGATGTAAACATCTGTGATTGTTGGGAGCAGTTTTGATTGTACAGTCTGACAGCTGCAGGGAGGAAGGCCCTGCAGAAATGTCCTTCCTCATACAACATACAACACTGTAAAAAATGACAGATGCCACCACAGAGTCATAGAAGGTCTTCAAAATCGCTCCCTGTACTCCAAATGACCTCAGTCGCCTCAGCAGGTAGTCTGCTCTGACCCTTCCTGTAAAGAGCATCAGTGTTGTGGCTCCAGTCCAGTTTATTATTCAGGTGAACACCCAGGTACCTATAAGAGTCCACTATCTCAATGTCCACTCCCTGGATGTTCACCGGTGTCAGTGTGGTGGGTCTGCATCTCCGGAAGTCCACCACCAACTCCTTGGTTTTCCCGGCGTTGATCAGCAGGTGGTTCTGCTGACACCAGTCCACAAAGTCCAGAGTCCACTGTCTGTACTCTGAGTCGTCCTCACCTGTGATGAGGCCGACTATGGCAGAGTCGTCAGAGAACTTCTGTAGGTGGCAGCGTGGGGAGTTGATGGAGAAGTCTGCAGTGTAGAGGGTGAAGAGGAACGGTGCCAGCACAGTTCCCTGTGGGGCCCCCGTACTGCAGACCAGCGTATCAGAGACACAGCCCTGTGTCCTCACATACTGTGGGCGTTCTGTGAGGTAGTCCAGTATCCACTGGGACATGTGGTGGTCCACTCCCGATAGCTCCAGCTTGTCTCTCAGAAGTCGTGGCTGGATGGTGTTGAAAGTAGAGATGGACCGATCCGATATTACGTATCGGTATCGGTCCGATACTGACCTAAATTACTGGATCGGATATCGGAGAAAAATAAAAAATGTAATCCGATCCATTAAATATCACGAAAGCACCTCACAAAACTTGCAACACGCCGTAACTCACCTCAGAACGTTAGCACGTCGGAGCAGTATGCATCACGTGATAGAGCGGCTGTGGCATGCGGGACCTGTCGGTGGTCTGGATAGCATTTGGAGCTTCGCTAGCAACCCGGCATTTCATCTCCGACAAAGTTATCCAGAGTAAAGCAAGTGTGTAAGTCCATCTCTGAATGTTTGTAAAGCATTCCTGCGTTAAGCTTAACAAGCGATATATGGAGCGACTGCCTCTTCTTGCTGCTACTTCAATCATGAAACTGCTTAATGATCAGCTGATCGGCTTTTCTGTCGCGAGTCCGTCTCTCTAGTTTGCTTTTGGCCCACTTTGCACCAGAAAGAGGAAACCAGCGGCTGAACAACAGCAGCACGTTTAAGCTTGATCAGCTGTTGTTAGAATTTATTTAATATTACTTTCTACTCAGGATCTTTTTCTACGTAGCTGACGCTGGTAACTGTGCAGGGGCGGATCTAGCAAAGTTTAGCCAGGGGGGCCGATAGGGCATTAACAGGGAAAAGGGGGCACAAAGACATACTTTTCTTTCTTATTCTCATTTAAAATGTCGAGCTTTTAATAAATAATTATCTGACACCCAAAGTTTTAATTTGATGTAAAATGAATAGAAGTCCATTACTGTATATAGTAACTATTAAGTCTAATATACCCTAGTAAGCTATAGTACTTTTTCCTTTGGGAAGGTACCATCTGTGCAGTCTGCAATTTTGTTGAAGAAAGATGTTGAATCTATTTAATATTTCTTGAAAAATAATTGATTTCTGTGCATTTTTTTTTCACACTGCATCAAATTAAGGTTGATTACGTCGATTAAGCATCATGAGGTGGAGCGTGAGGGGTGGTTCCCTATTTTTTATTTATTTATTTTTGTTGTTGCTGGGAGTTGGAACCCTATTAGTTAGGTTGCTTAATATTTACGCTAAGTACTCTTTAAAATACCAGAATAGGGAGGATGGTGTAGGTTTAAGTTTATTAGATTGATCAGTATTGCTGAACTATGAAATATTTTTTTTTGCATACAGGTATAACAGAATAGCTTTAGTGTAGTTGTTGTTTTAAACTTGAGTATGAACTTATACAAAATGCAGCAAGATATTTAAAAAAACAGTTTTGTTGATTAAAAAACACTATATCGGATTCATATCGGTATCGGCAGATATCCAAATTTATGATATCGGTATCGGTATCGGACATAAAAAAGTGGTATCGTGCCATCTCTAGTTGAAAGCACTGGAAAAATCAAAGAACATGATCCCCACAGTGCTTCCAGGCTTCTCCAGGTGAGTCAGAGCTTGGTGCAGGAGGTAGATGATGGCGTCCTCCACCCTGATGCCAGGCTGGTAAGAAAACTGCAGCGGATCCAATGAAGAACTCACCAGGGGGCGCAGATGGTTTAGAACCAACCTCTCGAGGGTCTTCATCAGATGTGATGTCAGGGCTACCGGCCTGTAGCTGCTGAGGTCCTTGGGATGGGAGGTCTTTGGTACCGGTACCACACAGGAGGTCTTCCACAGCTGTGGTTTCCCCAGTGACAGGCTCAGGTTGAACAGATATCCTAGGATGCCACACAGTTAATCTGCGCAGCACCTCAGGAGCCTGGAGCTGATGCCATCTGGACCTGCAGCCTTCCGCACCTTGATCTTGCGAAGCTCGTTCCTCACTTGAAGTGCTGAGATAGAAAGAGTGGATTTTGGGGAGGGGGGTGTATGTTGGAGTCTACAGAAGCCGGGGGTGGGTGTAATGACTGGGAGCTGAGAGGTGTGAAGTCCTGTGATGAAAGACAGGCAGGCCCTGAAGATGAGGGAGATTGCAGCAGGGGGGACGATGCTGGGGGGAGGGGTGGGTGGTTGATCAAACCTATTAAAATATTTATTTAGGTCATTCACCCACCCCAAGTCTCCTGCAGCCTGGGGGTTGGTTTTTGTCCTGAGATTGTCTTCAGGCTGTTCCAAACCCCTCTGAAGTTGTCCTGTTGCAGCTGCTCTTCCATCTTCCTCCTGTAGTTTTCCTTCCCTTGCCTTATCTTCCATTTCAGCTTCTTCTGAACAACTCTCAGCTCCTGTTTGTCTCCAGATCTAAAGACTCTCTTCTTCTCCTTCAGGAGAGCCTTAATTTCAGGATTTATCCATGGCTTGTTGTTAGAAAAACACCGTACCTTTATGATGGGTACAGTGTTGTCCACACAGAAGTTCATGTAATCTGTAATGCAGTCTGTGATGCTGTTGAGGTCATCCTCCAGGGGGCTGCAGAGGCTGACCCACACAGTAGAACGGAAACAGTCCCTCAGGGCCTCTTCAGTCTCTGCCGACCATTTGCTTAATGGGTGTTTCACAACTGTTTCTCTGTGTACTAGAGGTTTATACACAGGCTGGAGATGAACCAGGCTGTGATCTGAGCCCCCCAGGGGAGGGAGAGGTGATGAGCTGTATGCCTTCTTGGTGTTGGCATACAATAAGTCCAATGTTTTATTGTCTCTGGTGTGGTAGGTGACGTACTGGGTGAAGGTGGGGAGAGTGGAGGACATGTGATGTGATTAAAGCCCCCAGAGATCAGGAAAAGGGCCTGAGGGTGCTGTGTTTGGAGTCTGCTGGTTACAGTGTGCAGGACCTCACAGCCTGCTGTAGTGTTAGCAGAGGGCGGGACATACACAGCTATCACAATCACGTGTGTAAACTCTCGCGGTAGATAGTACGGTCTCATGCTAACTGCTAGCAGCTCAATGTCCTTACAGCACAGCGTCTCTTTGATAGATAAACGCCCAGAGTTACACCATCTATCGTTCACAAACAGAGCCAGACCCCCTCCTCTCTTCTTACCACTCTCCGCTGTTCTGTCGGCCCAGATCAGATGAAAACCATCTATGTTTATGTCTGAGTCCGGAGTTAGCGCAGTTATCCACGACTCTGTGAAGCGCATCAGGCTGCACTCCCTGTAGCTCCTCTGATGTCAGGTAAGAGCCGCTAGTTCGTCTACTTTATTGGGGAGAGATCTCACATTCCCCATAATAATAGATGGAATCGCTGGCCGGTACCTCCTAACTTTACTGCAACGCCCGATCCCGGCCCGAGTACCGTGTCTCTTCCTCCTCACCTCGTGGGGGATGTTGGCTTGCTCGGCTTTAGGCAGGGCAGCGGAGGCTCCGAGGGTAGAGTAAACAATGGGAGGTCGGACCTCCACGCGCTCTCCGGACACAGACGCCGTAAAAAATATAATAAAGAACACGATTGTCCATAGAATTCTGAGCTCCATTGTGGGGACAACAGTCCAAAAACAAGAAACACAAGAACAACAAAGAAACAACTAATAAAGAGAAAAAAGGACTCGGTCAGGTCGGAGCTGCTGATACTGGCTGCCAGCTCAGAGCGGCGCCGGAAGTAATGACAGTAAATGTCAGAGAACCAGCTGTGGGGTGTCCTTTTGTGTACTGCTTAATGATGTGGTCTAAAAGGAAGCGTTCCAGCAGCAGTGGTTCAAACCCTGCTCCCTCCAGAAGAGGTCGCCAAATGATCACATTTTAAAAAAAAAGTTCATTTATTTATTTCCTTTCTTACTTTTAACCTTCTACTTGTGAGGTACCCACACATTTTTCAGGCTAATAATTCTGGGAAATAATTGCTAAACATAAATACCAAACATTTAAATACCAGATTACAAAATTTGCCATCTTTGAGTTTTGGACTAAAAGTTGTGGAAGATGTCATCTGTGTCACAGAAAATTGTGATGTACCTTTTTGTTTTGTTTTATTGTTTACTGGCTTATCAAACTATTAAAATGGCCTAATTTACATTGATGGATAGTGAATGTAGTTCCTGAGTTCAGTTCTTCTGAAATGTATCTGATGTGTGTACATCCCATGGAAATTGTTAGCTTTTTGGCCTTTTTGGTAAGCAACACGTTACCCTTCTACTTCAGGAGCTTCCTCGCTTCAGTTATGTGCACTGTAATAATTTCACTTCAGCTGAATTGAAATCAATGTTTTCTTTTTTTAAATCTTGGCTGTTAGTCTCCGTGCAGATGAAACAGAAAGAATGCAGACTGTGCACAAACTCTTCTAAATTTTTGTTTTTAAAATTCTCACCAGATGCCTCACATGTGTATTCTTACTAAGTTGGCCGTAATTCTGCATTTGTGAACGAATGCTGCCAGATTATTAAATACAGGCAAGTTCGTTTTGGTCAACAGAAAGAACAAATTCAGTGCACGTGTGTGTGAACAGTTTAAGGAAACTCTAAGCAGTCCCTCTAAGGACCCAAATAAAATACAGATGAATAACACTCCTTGGTGCTGTCCAACTTGAATTGTGTTGCCAAACATATGAAACCTACAAGCAGCTTATCACAGCGTGTAAACAGTAAATTTTCTTTTCTGGGCTCTAGCTCAGCTCAGCCAAGCTCAGCAGCAAATAATTGTTTGACTGTAAGTATTTGCTTTCACGGACACCCTCTTGTGTCTCGATGGGTCAATATTTATATTTTCTCTTCTCTTTCCAGCAAGCTCGAGAAGCAGAAAGAGAAAAAGAGAAAGGAGGAGCAGAAGAGGAAAATAGCCAGCTTGTCATTTAATCCTGAGGACGAGGAAGAGGAGGAGGAGGATGAAGAGGAAGAGCAAGACTGTGAGCATTCGTTCTGTTTGGGACGTTAAGGCCTCAGTCATCTGAAGCAGTTTTCTTTCTTTATCTGTGACTTTGTTTAAAATCTCTTCTACATCTGTTAGATTAGGTCAGAGCCTTACTGCTGAAATGAACATGTTCAGACCGAGCCCTGCAGGGAGACTAATCTGAATTCCAGAAACGGCAGAGATCTCGTTATACTTGTTAAAGGTTAATTTGAACTTGTTGAATTGTCGCTTCTCTTTTTGTGAACTGTACAATTAGTTATACGTCACTCCTTACAAGTCGTTTAGATCATCAGATTAGAGGGATTGATAATACTCAGTACTGCTGGCCAGACCCCACGTGTAAGCATAAGATTTATGTTAAGAGCAGCAGTGGTGCAGGAGCAGCCAAAGTCTTTTCTGTGTGTTCATACAGATTAAAGGTAACAAAACACCCCACTCAGAGATTTCGTCACCACCGTGAGGCAACAAGTGCAGACTGATGGTGGTGATCACAGTTATTTTCTTATTGCCAAATAAAATTCCAGAAAGATCAAAAGTTAATGTGCGAAAATCTTGAGCCACCCCTCAAAGATGGCCTCAGTTTACGTCTCCACAATGGGGTTTCAGTCATGATGGCCTTGTCTATCTTCATGTATACAGTGACTTGGTTTGGTCTTTCTCATTAGAGATTGTAAGAGTCTTAATTAGACTTGGTGACTAACACAGTCTTGGATTTTAAAGTCTGCTTAATAACTGTGATTTTTTTTTTCTTGTACTGCTAAAACATAAATAATCTAGATGTCACATGATTTCTTATTGATCTTTGGTTTTGTCTTGTAGATCCAGTCAAGAAGAAAAAACTGGGGAAAAATCCAGATGTGGACACAAGTTTCTTGCCTGATCGAGACAGAGAGGTGAGGTGGTTGTAAATCACATTAACTCCATGAGCGTGTGATAACATATGTTTGCACTTCTGGCTATTCTTAGCTCTGCATGTATGTTCAGCTGTGCTCTGTTTTACCTGGCAAGCTGCCAGACACTGCAAATTTTAAGAAACGCGAAGGCTAAGAAGTGATGAATGATTACCTCTCCACAAGTAGCTCCACTTCACTGTCAGTTGTCCATGTCAGCAAAATAACAAACAGATTTCTGAATAATTGTAGCTCAAAAGTTAAGAGTTGGTGTCACTGTTGATCAGTTGGTGGTGTTGTCAATCTTCTGCAATCTGATCGTCTTTAAATGTAAAACTTGTTTGTAAGTATTTTTGCTCCACTGATGGGCTTTGTGTACTCAGGAGGAGGAGAACCGGCTCAGAGAGGAGCTCAGGCAGGAGTGGGAGCTCAAACAGGAGAAAATTAAGAGTGAGTATCAGGATTACAAAGTAAGTAATGATGATCACTTTAATGCTGAATACAAGGAGGCAGGCAGGAGCTACACAATGATCCATTTTGGATGTTTTCCGTGAGGACAGTTGACACTTTCCTCAAAGTGAAGTGCCGACCAAAGTGTTTTCCCCTGAGCCCAGCATGTTTTTAGTTCTTTGCAATGGGAGTGTCACTGTGACAAGGTGCTGTGCACATCGCTGTTTGCTCTGACCCAGCCGCCTAACCGTCATCTCACAACCTTTAAATAACAATGGGAACTGTTTTCTTCCAGAAATCCCCAGAGCCGTTGAATGAATGGCTTACTGAAAAGCTCTGAAGGTCTCTATATTTGCACACAAATTAGTACAATGAAAACAGTCAAAGTTCAACTGCCATGATCGCTGTGATCTCAACTCTTTTTTTTTTTTTTTTCCTCTGTACAACTTCACTGAACCGTCCAATACCAGCAACCGCCACAGCCAAACTCTTCTCGGGCAGTACTCGATAAGACTCCTCCTTTAGCTTGAAAGCTCCCTTCACCTCTGGTGTCTACCATCTGGTTCAGGGATTACCACCACTACAAGTATTATCCACAGCTCCATGCAGCCGCTTCAGCAGTGGCGGTTAGGAACACGGTCCATTCAGACTCACTGACCCTCAGAATGCTGTTGAAGTTCTGTCGGAGGAGCCACATCCTCCACCTTATTGTAGTGGAGCAGTTTGTGTATACTTGGATTTCCTAGAAGCAATGTGGTTAGATGCTTTTGCCTCAGGTAGTGTCTCCCAAGTCATATTAGTCCTGGGTGAGGGCCTGACAAAGAGTGATTCAGAGCCAGGAAGAACGCTTATTTGCCAAGCTTTAGGAGAAGATGACTCTTTATTGTCATTGGACAGTCATACCTAGTACAATAGTACAACAAAGTTGGAAAGCGTCCCACGTTGGCACTACACACAACACAGTAACTTAAAGTGGATTTTTTTTAAAGTGCAAGAAAGATATGAACAAAAAAAGGAATGACTTAATAAATAAATAAAAGAATGAGTGAATGTTTATTGCACATTATTATTATTATTATTATCATTATTATTATTATTGTTATGTTATTGCCCCCCAAAAACAAAAACAAAACAAACAAAAACACCAGGGAGGTAGCCAATGAGGTCAGCTGTTAGCATTGAGCTAACAAAGCTATTGCCCTGTTGTAAAGGTTTCTTTGAGTCTGTTTGTCCGAGACATCAGCAGCCTGAATCTCCTGCCAGACTGCAGCAGCTTAAACACCCGGTGTCCTGGATGTGTGCAGTCCTGTAGGATGCTGTACAGGTCCTTCAGGGAGGGAAGAGGATGTCCAATGATTTTTGGGGCCATATTAATGACCCTCTGTAGTGCTTTTTTGTGTGCCACGGTGCAGCTGGAGAACCACACACAGATGCAGCATGTCAGCACACGTTCAGTGGAGCAACGGTAGAAGACAATCAGCAGCTCCCTCTTCACGTCCATTTTTCTGAGGATTCTCAGAAAATGGAGACACTGTTGGGCCTTCTTTACAACCACCAAGGTCTTTGAGCCAAGGTCTGTCTGCGTCTAGCCCGTGCGGTCCGGTCACGGAGACTAGACTCGCCCTCTTGGGGCCTCATTACTTTTAGAAGGCACTGCAAGGGCTGGGTGCAGTGTGCATCAGGCTGCAGGGCCCCGGTGATCTGAAAACGAACATCCTAATTAAAAAGTTGCTATTGCATTATTATAAAATCAGTGTGGCAGTACAGCAGTGCGCAACCTTATGTCTCTCTAAATCTGTAATAACTGTACATCTGTGTCATCAGATGAAGAGATTGAGATTACGTTCAGTTACTGGGACGGCTCTGGACATCGGAAAACTGTCAAGGTAAAGATTGAACCAATTGGCACTGAGGTTTTTAAGGAGAAAAAAAAATGTTATCTGCACCGTGCGTAGCAACACTTTACACACCGGTTTGTCTGCTCATGCTTTTGTTTTCTCTCCGTTTGTGTATTTCTGCTTCAGATGAAGAAAGGTAACACCATTCAGAACTTCCTGCAGAAAGCCCTGGAAGTCCTCAGAAAGGACTTCAGCGAGCTCCGGTGAGTTTAGACATGAAAATAGGATCATTTTTGTTTTTCACTCGGACTGTTTGAGAATGCAGGTATTTACAAAAGTAGCTGCAGTTATGCCATACGAAAAGAAGGTTCCATGGTGGGAGTGTTCATCACTACAGGCCATCATATAACTGAATGCGGCATCAGCTGAAATTGACACCGATGAGCAAAAGTAGAGTGAAGAAAAACAAACTAAGATGTTGTCTGTGTAAGGAAAAAAAGATTTTAGGGGAGTTTGAAAATAAAAGAATATTTTCCATCAGCCCAAATAGAAGCTTTTCTGTACTTTAGCCAAACAGTTGCAAAAAAGCTTTGACAGTGGTGTAAGTGCTGTCTGTAAGAGACCTCCTGCAGTGAACAGCTGGCCAATTTCTGACTTGCCAGAACTGACTTGGCGCACATCATGTGTCCTTCTCAATTTCTCCATCTTTTAACACTAGAGTGATAAACTGAAGCATTGCTGTCAGCCCCAGTGTTTTATTTCAGTTCCCATGGAGGCATTAAAAAAAAGGCACCTTGGAGTTAATGGATGTGACAAAATGATAAATGGGATTTTTTTTCTACAGATCTGCTGGAGTAGAGCAGCTGATGTACATTAAAGAAGATCTGATAATCCCACATGTAAGTGCTGTGACACACCCAGTTAACTGCTGCCAAACCTTTGCTTAACTTTGTTTTTTCCCTTTTTTCCTCCCTCTCTTGTTTAAACACCTGTGCGCCATTCAAATTCACTTTGATAGCTAAGTGTAGTCGCACTAGTAGATTGTAATCGGAAAGAGAATTTTGTTTTTGATGTAAAGTTGTTTGTCTCCTTGTCTCCTTCAGCATCACAGTTTTTATGACTTCATTGTGACCAAAGCCAGAGGCAAATCAGGTAATCAGGCATCAACAGCTTCCACACTGTTGACATCCAATATCCCAATTTCCTGCTACAGACGATAGAAAAGCTCTAATATAAAACATTTTTGTTGTGCTATAGAGTGTATATAAAAGATGAACCAAGCCACAGTGACATGTGACACAAAGGCCCAAACATAAATAGTCCCTCATTAAACCAGAATGTTTTGTTAGAAATCAACTGTGGTTTAGTGTTTATTAATCCTTGTTTTTAAACTAATAGCATTTTGTGTCGTTCCTTTTTTACACAATATTTCATATTCAATTTAAAGTTAAATAGCACAGCTCGTCCAATCGCGATAAGTGGACGGGGGATTTGATTCTGGACATGTTTGTATGTTGTTGCTTTAGACTGCGGGTGTCTAAAGAGAAAAGCGCGAGACCAGGAATATTGTCCACATTTAGCTACCCCTAATCTGTTATAACTAGTGATGTGTCGGTCGCGAACGAAACGACTCTTAGAGCCGGATCTTTGAAGTGAACGATGCAAGCCGGCTCCTTATTGGGAGCCATGTTTGTTTTTGTTTTTTTTCTCTCACCCTCTCTCTCGCACTTTTTTCCGCTTCACTCTCGCATGCGAGCCTTGTGCTTTGCGCTGGGCAGAGGGGGGAGGGGCGGTAGTTACACTCGCAGTAGCACAGGAACAGAGCGGGAGGGAGAGAGAGAGAAAGCCAGGGACAACAACGTCACATTAGAAAGGTATAGTAATCATCCACAACTATTTTTCAGTTGCGGATGATAAAGGATTCAGAAAGTTTATTCATGCAGTGAATCCTGTGTATGGAATTCCAAGCAGGAAAACACTCTCCCAAAAAATCATCCCCGGCCTATATGACAGAGAATGTGCATCTTTTTTTTGTTTTGCATATTTTAATATATATTTAATTGTGTTGTGGTTTGCAGTGTTTTGTGCTGTTTCACTTTAAATGTGTTTAAAAGGAAAAAGCTGAAAATTTAAATAGTTAAAAGTTGAAATGTAAATAGTTGGTTTGTGTATTTTATAGTTTATTTATTACATTTCATGTGGCGTAATTAAATACCGTAAATGTATATTTACGGTGGCCCCTAGAGACAAAGCACGTACAAACTCCAAAACAAATGCAAATTCCGAAGCACAACAGAAGTGCTCCAGGATGCTGAGCGCAGTGTTGAGCTTTTGTTAACTAGTGGCTACACAAGCCAGCAAGTACCATCGACCAGATTTGGTGTGTGGTAACAGGTAAATGAACAGTTTTTAAAAATAATTTCAACATTCTTTTTGTGCATAATTTTATATTGTTGTTAATAATAAATTAATTAAAGCAACAAAACAACCTGAAGAGCCGGTTCGGAGCCGAGAGAGCTGTTTCTCTAAAAAGAGCCGGAAATCCCATCACTAGTTATAACATTCAGGCTTCATTCTAACAGAGTCTCATTAATCACTGCACTTTGATAGTCTAAGGAGCTTGGAAACAAAAGCACAGAGTCCCTCCACCAGCCCTATAGGGGTTAAATCTGGGCCCATGGGGGATGTTATAGTCTCTGTAATTTATATTATCATGAGACAATTATGTGTCGGAAATTCTTTCTTTCTTAAATGCCTCATGCTTCTTAGTTTTCTGCTTTTTCACCCAGTTGATATTTCTTCTCCGCAGGCCCTCTGTTCAGCTTTGATGTCCACGATGATATCCGATTGGTCAATGATGCCACTGTGGAGAAAGATGAGGTGAGGGGGAAAAAACAGTTTATGGGAAACGGTTTCCTTTTTTTAGCTGATTAGAGCTATTCCTAAAGTACTCAAAAAAAGAAATGTCATAAGTCTGTTTCTACAGTTGCTTTGATTAGAAATACTCATAAGAAAGATGAAATATTTGTGTATCTGATACAGGAAAGGGAGTTTATAAGATTATAGAGGAATGAACAGAAAGAGTGTGATGTTGAAGTCAGACACAAGCCGAGATCAGAGAGAGAGCAAACAGAAGAAACAAGGCAGCGCGCTACATATAGGTAGACTGAAAAAATTAAGCAAGCATCAATTCTGGACCAAAATGGAGATAAAATGTAAAACTGACACAAAAATAGACACAGACACACATCAGTGTCGGAGTCTAAAAGTATCACAAGTCACTGAATTCTGATTGTAAAATGTAAAAACAGCATTAATTTAATAGTTTACTGTCCTGTGCAACGTCTAACTTGAAATGAGTCAGTCTCTTCATCATGTATTAGTAGGATTTTTTTTCTCTTCACTGAATTTAGAAGGATAAAAATCCTTTAAAATGTCCTAAATTGTCCTCTTTGACAGGAAGAATGTTGAGTAGTTTGCAGTTGTGTTTTCAGAGTTTGAAAACAGATTTTGCTTACCCAGAAATCATCTTTACACTGACACTAATGTAGAAGAAACCAATACTACACCCTAGAGCCACGTTTGGACTTGTTGACTTGCCAAGCATATGGGGCTGAGACACATGGGTCCAATCCACTGTGTACCCACAAACTGAGCAGTGGGGGTCTGATGTCATATGGATTGTGTATCGTTGAAGGCTTTGGAGGTCTGGCTGTCCTGACTGGTTTTAGGGACAGAAATGTCTGAATATCTCTGTAAAATGTATTCTCCATCCATGCTGTATTGTGAAAACAAACAAAAATATTAAGTGCGGCTTTGCTCTTTTACCTCAAGTCTCATGCAGGGAAAGTGGTGCTGAGGAGCTGGTATGAGAAGAACAAGCATATCTTCCCTGCTAGTCGCTGGGAGCCATACGATCCTGAGAAGAAATGGGACAAATACACGGTAAGAGTCATTTCTGCCAAGCAAAAATTAATCAGCTGGTTATTTCCCCAGTTTCATTTTAAATTGGAGTCTCGTTGGCTCTGTGTGGCCTCACCACCAACGCTGCAAGCAAAGCTTTGAAGCTGACCCAGCTTTTCTCAGGTTCATCATTAACTGCAGGTGGAGCACCAGAATGCGAGGCAGAGGGGAGATGACTGAACCTCATTACTCTAATATATCTTCCATGTGTGCAGTTCAGTTTCAGTTTAGTTGTATTTATATAGTGCTGTTTCACAGTGACAGTCATCTCAAGGCGCTTCTATATGGGACATAAAAGCCCCACAATATTAGAGAGAAAAACCCCAAATATTGGATTACCTGTGAAAAGCAGGATGGGAAGAACTCCCTTTAAACAGGAAGTGACCCTGAACCAGGGTCAGACAGGGCCAGCCATCTGCTGAATGAGGTGAGGAGAAAGGAAAGACCAAAGTGAAGAGCACAGTGAGACAAGAGTTAATGACATGCAGTGCTGGCAAAAGCACATGAGGAGTGAAAAGAAGAAGGTACATGTATACTGCTCAGTGCATCATGGGAAATCTATGAGTGTACCTGGCAGTCTGATCCTGTGGCATCCTTATAAGAGCATAATAAAGGGGAAAATCCAAGGTCAGAGCAAGCTGCTCTACATGAAAGCTGTGGTACTGTAGCTGTGGCCTGAGTAATGAGCAGGGTTTTAAAGTTGCTCCTGGATTCAATGATGAGTCAGTGAAGAGAAACTGCATGGGAGAAATGTAATGATATTTCTGCTCCCTGCGTCAGGCTCATTGCTGCGTGCTGACAGGATGATTTGTGGCACGAGTTTTCTTTGTAATTGTTCAGAGGGATGCTGGAAGGAAGTCCAGAGCTTTGTACTGTCACATTGTGACTGAGAAGATGCTTTTCACTTTATGGCATGCATTTAATTTTTAAATGCAGAAAATCGCAAGGCTTTTTATTGCTGGAAATTGTTAAGCACATATATTACAAATGTAGTGAAACTTTAATGAGCACCTCTGGGACTCTGCTCTGCATGCTGCATGGTACAGCTTCTTCCCTCATCAGTGCTTTCTTACACGAGGCGGCTTCAGAGCAGTGAGGTCTAACCGCTGGTTTCAGGCTGACTTTTGATGGTTCTGGAAACTCTAGTAGTCCAAGAAAAAAAGGCTGTGAGGCTGGAAATGAACATAATCAGAACCGCTTTAACCTCCTAGGACCTGGCATCCACATATGTGGACATCACATTTTGGGTTATTTAGACCAAAATACTAAATCTTGCTCTACAAGGGCCTGATATCCACTTACGAGGACATTATACTGCCACTGTTTTATCTAAATTTTAAACAAATATATGTGGCTCTAATTTTTCTTAGAAACAGAAATCAGGAAATTCTTTGTTTTTACATTCATCAGGTCCCAATCAGCCCAAATATCAAAGAGAAATTAAAAATACTTGCCATGAAAGAGTTTGGGTCTTAGGAGGTTAAAAATGAGCAAAATTCTGTAATACTTTAAATAAGCAGCTGTTTCAGCTTATTTAGATATTACTTTATCATTGATTATTAGTGAGTAAATAGTTTATTGACACACCAATGACTGGATGACTGTTTGCAGTGGGAATAGGGGAAAAGCTCAAGTGTTTGTTGAGCATCTAGTGGCCTTTTGTGGTATTGCACAAGGCGATTTTTTTATTCTTATTTGTTTTTCATTGTTTTCAGCCTCAGGACCTGGAAAAAAATATGGCAGTTTGATGAGGAGCATGCATGATACACTCTATCTAATCAGCGTGTTTGTATTTGATTCTTTTGGCGTTACATAATATTTTTTTGTTTTCCAGATCCGATGAGACGCCGATGCTCCATCGCTATGTCCGGTCCTCGACGCAAATAGTTGCTAATTTCCATCTTTACTTGTTCTATTATTTGTTTTAATGTCAGTATTTCTTTTCAACATTTGATTGGTTTTATTTGAAAACAAAAAATTTTGTGTACATAGTTGATTACTCCTAAACCTTTGTTGGAACATCTGCTGAATAAAATGAACCTGGCTAACACCTCAAAGGTCTTTGGTGAAATTTGTGCAATGACTTGTTTTTCCTCACCTGATACTTAGGTTTAATAGAGCAACTTGCCATGAGATGTTTTTTTTTCTGCACTCTAATAACTTATTGTGGCAGCAGAGCTGTTCCAACATGTACAGGGAGTTTATAGGCCACACCTCCCCCGTGTAGCCTGAAGATACCACTCCCCTCCACGTCTTTCTTCCTTCTCCAAGGTTGCTGTCACTTAATGCTCGAGCACAACTTGGAGGTGCTTCAGCTGCCAGAGTGTCGGTGAGAGTTTGAGATCCAGTGCTCGCCATGACAATGAGGTCCTGGCCCTAGAAGCATGTGGGAGCTTTTGTACCTGTTTTTGACGCTTTGTCAGCTGCTCTGCTGTCAGGCTGAGGCCACAGCTGCTCCTATCACCCCTCAGAGCTGCAGTCTGGACTGTATCCAGCAGGTAAGCTGGAGGTTGTATCTCCTTCATAGTCAACTGTTAACTCACCTTAATTCAGTAACTTTGTATAATTCGTACAATATGCAGCATCATGTTTAATTTTTTGTTTTGTGACAGATTTTCTCTCAGCCTTTGTTTGAAAAGTAAGAAAAACTCCCGACTAAAAATAATTCACATAACACATTTTTTTAAGAGAATTATTCAGTTTGTCCTGGTTTTAAGAAAAGTTTAGGTCTTCGTTAAGTGGTCGCAAGATAAATCTAAAGAATAGCAAATAAACAACCTGCAGATTGAGTTCCTGCTGCGTAACTGATGAGTTACACAGAAAACGACATCCTCAATTCTTCAAATATAAGATCCAAATTTAGTAGGGAAAAAAATTCATTTTAAACCGTCAAACTGCTGCATGGTTTAAAATCCCAGGTGTCACATTTTATTTCCCGCCCCTTCAGTGGGTATGTTGTTCTCTGTAGTGGAAAGTATGACGTGTACAAGATTTCCTATATTTGTTATCATCTAAGAAACAAATCTTATGTTCCTTTAATGTGTGTGTGTGTGTGTGTGTGTGTGTGTAACCCTGTAATCTTGAACATAAATCAAGTTAGAAATTGAGGGGGGCTTGAGTGGATTTTCTCATGCTATCGTCTCACACTACAAGCTCCAACAGTTTCAATATGTCCACACTCTCAGTGGATGTCGGAATGTTTTCACTGCGTTATTTAGGTTGGCTGGAGTTACACATACTGGCTGTAAACAGATTATACCGTGATGACTGTGTGGTGTGTATTCACATAATGAACCTATGATTGTTATTATCAGAGAAGGAAATCTGCAGCAGTTACCTTTAGTTTTAGGTGTCACAAGAAGAAGAGGGGAGGGGGGAGTTGTAATGATTTCCCGGCACAAAGATAAATTCACGGAGAGATTTTAAATGTGAAAAAGTTTAAAAAGCAAAGGAGGAGAGCATTTGGAAACTTTTCACTGGAGCTTGTGCCACAGAGATTTATGATGCAACTCATTAAAATGGATCCAGTCGTGAGCGATTATCCAAAATGTTGATTTTATTTGAGCCAGATGTCTGATTTGCTGTCAGTAATGCAGTGTTTTTACTTGAAAAGATATTACCCCTGGGTTACCATACCACAGTGAGATGGTTAAACCAAAGGGCCATGCTCACGTATTCCTTTAAATTTTATTTTGATTAATGAAAAGTGGGGCACTCAGTCATCTTGTAGAAATTAGACTTTGAGTTTTCTCCAAAACTTAATTTGTGTGGGCTTTTTATATGGATTAAGACTTCCTCCATGTTTGCTCAGCTGGTTTGCTCCAGAAAACGAGGGTTTAGGCTACGCAGACTTTCTACCTAACTTTCCGCACACACGGTTTCTCTTTTATCATCCTATTAGTCATGATCTCTAAAACCTGTAGAGCAAGTCAGCAGTGTAAGAAAGTGATCAAACAATTTCTTAATGACAGAAACACCAACAGCCAGTGCTATATCTGTCTAGGGGCACACCAGACTTTCATTTTCACAGAAGGTGGAGGTAAACAGCTGTTTTATTACAGAGAAACTATAACAAATTCAGTGACCCAGTCACACTTTCACTGCTCCAACAAGTCAAATATGTCCTTCTATAATTTAGCGTGCTTTGAGTGTGAAGCAGCATTAACTATAATTACACAAACACCCCGTAAAAGCGATGCTTTGGTAAATGCACTGTCCTGCTCTTCATTGATAATGTTCACTCAACAGCAGAGCACAGTGAGTCAACCCAATCAGTGCCTTCACTACACAGTATGTTGAGAAGCATCCACTGTTTAAACACAAGAACAAGCCGCAGCACATACTGTACAGATGGGAATCAGATTTTACATGGAGAATCTTATAAAAACAAGAACCATATTGTTTGTAATATAGCAACAAGGTTCTCCAAACTTACCATGAAGGGTTGTCAGTGCTGATCCACTGTTTAAGCTGGGATAGGTAAGTATGTGCAGATGTTTGGAAATCAAAGCACCTCTGATGATTGTTACTTGAACTCAACTGAACTGAACTGAAGTGGTGCACTGCCTTTTTTTATGGCAGGCAAACTGAACATACTGAACAATTCTTACAATACAATTCTTTTCAATTCAATTGTACTTTGACAGCGCCAAATCACACCACACTTACCTCAAGGTGCTTTATATTGTAAGGTAAAGACCCCAAAATAATAAAGAGAAAACACTGAAAACCCCAACAATCACATGACTCCCTATGAGCAAGCACTTTGGCGACAGTGGGGAGGAAAAACTTCCTTTTAACCCTTGTGTGGTGTTCATATTTTTGTTACTCAGCCAGTGTTCATGGGTCTGGTGGACCCGCTAGAGTTTTGGCTTTCCAAATTAACACTATCAAACAATTTTATGTTAAATTACTCAACAGATGTTTACTTCATCCCAATTACAAGCCATATGAACAGCAAACATGGTTAATTTTTTCCCTTTACCTTTGTTAGATCACATTTATGAATTAATGTGCTTCTCGTTTTTTTTTTTTTTTTTATAAAATGTTATAAAAAAATAAATCAGTTATAATCAAGTGGAGTGAGTGGAAAGACACAACACATTTACACGTGAAGCAATATGTTTCACACAAGT